TCAATAATCTTAAACGTTCTGTTCTTGTTTAGTAAATCAGTCTCAAAACAAGATCAAAAAGACTTTTTGACTGATATAAGATTTTAAAACTTGGTTAGATGGACAGTTTTTGCTGTGTTCAAATTTACCTCCGTCCCTTCTGAGCCCCCCGTCTGTCAGCTAATCCTTCCTGGGACGGTTTTTGATATTTGTTCCCAAAATGTTTGCATCTGTTCAGTTTTCTTATTTATCCTCTAGTGGGGGTGTGGGGGTCGTATCCCAGAATGCCTCCTGACAAGATGAAGAGGAACAATCTGGACAGTTTACAGCAGAGATTCACAGCTGTGCTCACACCTCTGGATTATTCATGGTTTCACCTCAGGTGCAGATCTTTGGRCTGTGAATAAAACAAACTGCAGCTCCCTGTCAGCTGAAAGCCAGGAGTTTAACTCCAAAAAAAATGAGCTGTTCAGCCTGTGTGTGTGTGTTTCTGAATAAAAAGCAAACTCAGATTTGCCTCAGATCGTCTCATTTTGTCATGTTTCCTGCAGGTCCAGTGGAGCACGTCCAGCTCCTCGCTCCGTTTGTGATGATCAGACACAAGGAGGTGAACATCACAGCCGTGGTCTTACCCAGCCAGCCGCGCACTGTCACCTACTACTGGTGGCTGGGCAACAATACCGAGGTACAGGCTCAACCACAGGAAACAAACATTTCTATTCTGCTGCAAAGGAGCTCAAACACTSTTGGTCTAAAAAAGAAGGAAAACATTAACACAAACCCAACATCATGGATCCCAAATCTGTCATTTTATAAACATTCAGCTGAATGRATTTTACCAAAAGCACTCAGAGAGAAATAAAAGGCTGCAGGGGTCAGCTCTCTGCAGACTTAACCTGCAGAGATTCTGACTTTCAATCAAACCTGTGTACAGTCTGCTGAATTGATCTTTTTATTTCATTCTGCCTTTTTTTTTTTTTTACCTTTTCTGCTTTGCAGCGAAGGGTTCAGAGTTTTTAATGTGGAGAGGTAGAATTATTGTGAATTCTAAAATTTAAATATCAAATACAAACAAAGGATTACGGCAAAACACAGACAGTGGCTCCTGTTAGCATCGGGTTGCTAACTATCTGGGTCCAAACAGGAATCTTTGCTGCTTCCTAAAGAAGTGGAACAAAAAACAAAAAGCAGAGTTGTAAAGTAACTATGTACAAATACTTTGCTACTGTACTTAATTAGAATTTTTGGGTATCTGTACTTTACTTGAGTAACTTATTTTCAGCCTACTTGTTACTTCTACTCCTTACATTTTTTAAAAAGGCAAGAAG